GACCCAACTCAAATGCTCGTTTCTAGAAAGGTGAGGGACAAGATAACACATGAAATGAAGCTAACTAGTTCTAGGCTACTAGGGAAAAGATGGAGAACCTGATGTCATGCAGAAAGAACATGTAGTTACAATATGAATAATAATACTTAGAATATTTGTGGGATGTTATAGCTAGTCACTGAAAAACAAGACCTCATCACATTGTGGCATGTTGAGAAGGGAGGATTACAAGCACTGGGCCTACCTGAGAAGCGGTCCTAGAGATCTGCAGGAGAGGATCTATACACACTAGCAGGTTCCTCCAGCTTGTAGTTTGAACTCAGCTGTACAGAAGGCATTGCTGATATGTTCTCAGGATGTCATAGTTTTCCATTAATTTACCAGTGCTGAAGACATGAACAACATTCTATCAATCAAAAGATACCTTTGAATGGTGCCCTATGCAAATGACTCACAGGGAAACCTGTGGTGGGCTGTAGCTGCCTGGCTATGGAGCGGCTGCAGTAGTGTCTGAACTTCAGCTTGTTGCCATTTCACACTGGAGAATTTTTACGGGTTTTTATGCCAGGGAAGGAGAGGGTGGGAAAGAAGAAAATTAAGGCCTATGTTTACTAAAACAGAACTAGTAAAACAATTCAAATAAAATGGTCATTTGCTGCCTGGGCAAAAAAAGTAAAATGTATTTTATGCTTCAATCTGTCCCAAAATGTGCGTGTTTATCACTGAGGAAAATCAGGTCTGAGAATCCCAGCCCAGTGTACACAGCAGCCTAGCAAACAAGCTGGGAGTAGGATTTCTCCTTTGGTATTATGATGTTTATTATAAACTCCTGTGGAGATCTTCATGTGAATCAACCTCAACCACAAACTCTATTAACCCCAATCAAGCACAATTCCTACAGCACCAGGATAGATGCAAGACCTCTGTTGCTAGATCCCCTATACTCACAAATCCTTTCCTTCAGTGTTTAGTTTGGAAGGACAATAAACAAGATGCAAGATAACAAAGATTCAAAGTGATACAGGAAGATTAATAGACTGCTTTTTTTTCTCATCATATTAGGGAGAATATCTATGACCTCTTTCAATGATGGTAAAAAGAGAAGAGGAAATGCTAGTTTTAATGTAACTCAGCCAACTGATGGGAGTCATTGCTCTGGGATACCTATCAGCCCTGAATTTTAATAGATTTTGAGAAAGAGATGTGTGTATATTTGAAGGGATGGGAAGATTAAAAGATTTAAAACAGAGCCACAGAGTGTTGCACTCAGAGTTGTGAAGATGAAATCTAAGCACAAATTGATAGAATCGGGCAGACGTTTCTCTTTGGGGTAAATCTTGTAATTGTCCACAAGGGTTTCCTTGCTCTTTCCTTTGAAGCTTTAAAGTATGACTGCTGTCAGAGGTGGCAGAAGAGGCATCAGTGTCAGCTCACCAGGCAGTTATGAAGCTAAAACCCAGCAGAATGTCTTAAGACAGCTTGTGATGCAAGCATCAGAAAACAAAACAGAACTAGTAAAACAGAACCATGAAGGCTGAGTAGTTGTAAGCATTTAAAGAGTAAGGTAATCTAGTTTTATCCAAAGAGTCTACTTAAGTTTCCATTAGAAGGTTTAGGTCTTTCTTCTTCATTAGAGCTTATTGTCAGTTTGCACATCTGTCTGCCATCTAGACAGGACTTAAACTGTCAGTTTGAATCAACTGGACTCACTTTGGCCTGGGAGATGAGTACTTCCTGTTTGGAGGAAGAATTTTCAAGCCCTTTTACCCTGACTCAGAATACTTCAAGGCAGTGAGAAGTATACCACTCTTAAAGAGGAGGGATTAGTAAGGACAAGGTAGAGACACTTCCTGGACTGTCAAGTGCTTCATGGCTGGACTATGGGATGGATAAATGAATAAAATTACAGACTTCCATTATGTGTGGGAAAATGTGTGTATATATATACAAGCATGTATATGTCTCTCTTTATATATATGCATGTATGAGTGAACTGAACTGTAGACAAGTTGTACAGATGCTATGCCACATAACACTGTGAAATACTGAATTCAGAGCCAAGTGCTGCAGATTCTTTTGTTTCATTTTTTTTCTTAGCATAGGAATAGTTGATCTGAAACCTGCAAGCAGTTTTATGTCCATAAGAGTATTAAGCAAGAAGTTTTGATATGAAATCATTATCTTCCCTCTTCTAAATCCAAATACTAATTGCAACCTTGCTGTGAGCCTACAATATTAAGGCTATCATAGCCATGGCAACCAAAAGCAACATTAAATGGAATACATACCCGCTGCACAATATTGTCTTGTTGTTGTTTTTGGGCAGTGGGCAAGCCTTTCTATTCAGCAGCCATGATAAATAGGTCAAAAGAACTTTCAGTTCTTCAAACCTCTGAACTATTTTGCCACATATGCTCTGCTATCACATTATTTTCTGTATCTGTATAATTAATTTCAATGCAGGATGGTTTGTTAGTCCACAGATACAAATAAAAGTGCAAATTAAAATTTCAGCATGGATTTTACAATAGCCCATTTACGTTTCAAGATTAAACTCGTAATAAAAACTTTTGTGTAGTTATAATTGGACTTATTTTTCTTAGAACCAGGAGATAAAAATCTAGATAAATAGCCTCAAAAAGATATTGTGTTTAAGAAAAGAGCGCTTTAAATGAGCTGCTTAAAGTCACCTTCTGTGCTTTGCATGATAATTGTAATGCAAAATAACAAACAGAGCAGGGCACCAAGAACAACACTTCAAGGATGATATTGTGCCATTTATATAAAGATAATTAGGCACTTAAAAACAATCAATATCAGTTTAAGCCCCCCTCTCGCTCAAAAAAATGAAAGAAAAACGTGGGGTGTGCAAGGTAAGCTTATTGAAATAAGTTTCCATTTGCACGATACTCCTGAGGGTATACATCCATAATGATCTGTCTGGCTCCAAACCATGTGAGTACACACTGAAATTAATTGCTGGGGACATGGCAGAACACAATAGTTCTGTAGGCCATGAGTGATATTTCAGATGTGGATATATTTTACCTGTTCCTGGGTATATATGAAGGTTAGTTTTACCTGGAAAAAATGCAGCTGTGCCCCAACTGTCACACAGCATAGAGGAAATCTTATAGTAGTTAAATAACTTATTGCTTGAATTGCTTATTCCAGTTTTAAGAAGCAAATGTGAGAGAGAAAGCTGTATCAACACAAGTGTCTTTGTGCAGGTACAACTGTATCCATATTAATGAGATCTTTCTAGCAGAAAAAAACCTCTAAAACATTGTACCTTAATTCAACACTATTCTGTCAGCAAAAAAAAATCTATTCTATAATGTAATATTTAAGTGTGTTTATAAATGGTTAAGAAAGGGTTAATAGTCAAATATCATTAGCAGGGACAAAAACTACTGGGAGGCGTTAAGAGATTGGCTTATAGCAATAGTCCTGTTGGAAGCAGTAATTATCTAGCACAGGATTGCTAAAATACTTTTTTAGCAAATTATTTATAAGCATGTTTTTCATCTAGATTATAGCAAAAGTTGTTCAGAAGAGAGCTTTGCATCAGTAAGAAATGTTAACAATACAAAGTTCTGAAAAATAATTTTCACTAAGTCTTGAAGTTTTGCTATTAATGGTAGAAATGTGTATTAACTTATAGTTTATGAAACAAGACAAATAATAAGTCCATTTAATATGAAGTAATCTATGAGTTTCCTACCATTACATTTAAGAGTAATGAGACTGGAGGTACGGTTTGACTGTACAGTCTGGAGGAATAAGGCAGGACCTGGCCTGAAAATCAGCTGGGAATCTGCCATTTTGCGGAGAATCTCCTTGTAGCTTTTCCACTTGGCAGGACTCCCAACCATCTCTTCTCCTGCTGTTCAAGTTGCAGAGGGCAGCAGTGGTGCCAGCTGGTTGCTGCTGCTTAGCCTCGCTCAGAGTGCTCTGTGCTGAAACCCGGTGTCCTCGAAGTGAATGTTAGTCCTGTCTGAGTGTCTCCCAATAAGCACCTGAAGTTGCAACTCTTCCCCAGATGGGGTATACCATGAACTGCTATAGTGTCTGTGCCACTGGCAGTTCATGCAGCTACTCCTTCTTGGCCACAAGGTCACTTCAGGCCTCCATTTCCCACTTGTAGAGAAGAAATACTATTCACCAGTGTGTCAGTAAACATTGTAAGGATGAAGGCACTGAGGATACTCTTGCAGTTACGTCAGAAGTTCCAGTCACAATTTCTGAAAAGATTATTTGTTGTTAGTGAGGTAATGTAAATCAGAAACCTCTACAGTGCTCTGAGTACTCTGACACATTAGCAAAGAGCTTAGATGGAAGTGAAATTGTATCTCTACACTTTGCACATGTTCCTTGCATGGGAAGGAATACTTGTCTCTTCAGGTTAGCATGACTGGCAATTCTTTTTTGAGCAATAATTCAGAAAAGGATTTCTGTGATGTACTGTAAAGCTGAACAAGGAATTGTAGACTTGACAGTTATTAGTTGGTCTGAAAAGATAGATTATCTCATCTCGCAAGCTGCATTGAGTGTTATCGCTGGACTTTGATGCTACAATTACACCATAGTTAATACTCAGTAATCAGTTTGTTTAGTGAGAAGGTATAGCATTTTAATTTACTCCATTAGGTCTCAGTGTACTGCTCAGCTGAGTTACTGTATGTCTTCCATCTACCCTGGGCATACTCAGAATCTTAACAGGAGATTCATGAAGCTGCTCGCTGTACTTCTGTTAGATTCATGCTTGCGCATCCAGATTTTCCCGTGATACCAGCACTGACACTCAACTTTGTGTCATTGCTGTAGGAGCAAGAGTAAAGGTAACCCTCATAAATTAAAACATCCTTAATCTGTTTTGAAAAAAACATGGAAAAATTAAAAAGCCGATTGCACTTCCAATAGCACTCCTGTCAGTAATTTTTGAAGAGATAGGTCTCTAGAATTCTAAAGGCACAGATTACCCTAAGTGACTGAAAGAAACTTCAAAGGATCAATAATTACAATCAGTAATACGTACTGTGTGTTTTAAAATTCTGAGCTCAATTCAAGAGATTATTTTCTTCATTTAGTACCTAAGAACATATTCAGATACATCGATATCAGTATTGTAAAATACATTGCAATATATTCAATGACATTAGTTTTTTTCTTCTCTTTTTAATAAATATTAATTAAAGAGAAGTGCAATCCCTGCTAGTGCTTGCGAGGGGGAGGTTTCTTGCAGAGCAGCTGTGGATCCAGGTCACTGCCAGCCCTCCTCTTACGGGGCCGCCGGGCCCTCGCAGGCAAATGGCCAGGAGTGGAGGGGCTGCTGCCCTGGGCAGAAGGGCCTGATGCTGCCGCCTGCTCCGTCTCTTCATGGAGCTCCTCGAGTTCCCTGGGGATGTGTGCAGCAGGGGTGTGACTGAGATCCCCACGGATGACAGCCTCTGGTGTGCTGGGCTGCTCCTCTCTGTTGGCACTTTCAGTGTTGCTGTTGGATCTCAGCATTGATGTAACAGCCCCTCGTGAGGATGCTATAGGACCAGGGGCAGCCATAGAACTGTCCTGCCCCCTGGCTGCAGGGCCCTCTTCCTGTCCTCTGGACACATGGATGCCCTGGAGGCCGCGCTGCCCGTGTGCCTCCTCGCCCCACTGGCTCACGAGGGCGTCCACAAGGCCCTGGATGAGCGTCTCCGCTCTGTCCCCCAGGGCAGGCCGCAGCAGCTGGATCAGGGCCTCGCGGTCCAGCCCGATGTGACACAGGGCGTTCAGGATGAGGTTCTGCACCGCCATTGCCTCCCACCACTGCGCTCCAAAGATGTTTTGCAGCTCCTGGCGCAGCCATGGCAGCACAGGGTCGAGCATCTCCTGGTGCTGCCTGAACAGGGCTGCCCAGACCTCCGTCAGGAGACCGCCCACCATTGGCCTCTCCTCTGCCTCCTCATCCTCCTGTTCCTCTGGCAGCAGCAGAAAGGGTGGAGGGGATGTCGCATCGTGCTGGGGGCTGTAGATGTGGGCGATGCCTGCCTGGAAGCAGGCAGGAACAGGTGGTGCTGGGGGACGGATGATGAAATCCAGGTCGTTGTCATCATCCCACTCAGCAACCTTGACCACTGTCATTATCCTCCTGCAGAGCGGGCAGGTCTCTTTCTGCTTGGCCCACCGCAGGATGCAGCCGAGGCAGAACTCGTGACGGCACGGCACTGCGTAGGCAATGTCCTTTCGCACCTCACGGCAGATGGGACATGTCCACGCCTCCTCTGCTGCCATGGTCTTCACGCCGTGGCCTGATGGGGAGTGAAGATGAGCCGCTCTCCCTCACCAGCGCCTCAGCAGTGAAATTTGTGCACTGCAAGAGAGGGAGGCCATGGTCATTCCCTGTCCTAGGGAGAGACAGAAGAAACGTCCTGCTCCCTCAGCAGGAAACCCTCCAGACCCCACACCTGTGCTGCCCTATGCCCCACGCCCTCACAGGGTCGGACTGCAGCCCTGCCTCTGGCAGTTCCCCCAGCTCAGAGCTCACCCCATGGCCACCCTGGGGGACGTGTCCCCACCCAGCTCACCTGTGCTGCTGCACGTGCACCCCGTGGGGCCCCAGCTGCCTGAGCCAGGCAGGCCAGGGGATTACAGGTGGTGGCTGTACGTATGGGCACTGAGAGCAGCTGCCAGCAGTCCCCAAAGCACAGCCCAACACACAATTAAAATCCTCACTCCACCTCCAAGCCGCACGCACTCGCTCGGCAGGAGTCCAGGCACGAGAGTGAATGGGCCAGGCCCTGCCAGCGCCCAAAGCTCGGTGGCATCACAGCCTGTTGCTCAGTGATGTCACCGCAGTCCTTGTGCCACCACAGCACTCTTCCTAGCAGCACCTTCCCATTCGTCTTCTCCTGCGTACAGCTGTTTCCTGGAGTCTCCAAGCACTTAGCTGTGTCTTCCAGAGGCCTGTCATGTATCGTCCTACCTCCCTTTGTCATTTCCAAAATACCACTTCTTCCCCTTCCCCTCTCCCCCTTTTTTTTTTCTTTTTAAACATATTTGTAAGGTACTCTACTTCATATTAACGTGTTTTTCAGATATTGCCTCTTTTTCTTTCCTTTATTTGCTCTACCTTTTCTTCCTGCCCTCCTTTTATTGGACTATTCATTTGATATTGGTGCACAGATCTTATTTTTTCCCTGATTAAATTACCTCTGGTCTTGAGGTTATGTTTCTTCTGATTCTGCATCAGCAAACTGTAAATTTTTCACTAATATGTTATGCGGAAAAACTTTTCCTCTTTATAGAAGTTTTTGTTTTCTTGCTTTGGGAATGTTTGGGAAATTCTTTTCTCATTCCCTGTCTTGCAAGCATCAGCCTTGTGTTGCTGGGTTTTGTTTTTTTTTGTTTTTTTGTTTTTTTGTTTTTTTAATCTTTCACTCTGTCAGTTTGGGAATATCTTTCTTCCTAGATGAGTAGTTTTCACTGGTAATCACTCTTCTTATATCTCTCAAGGGGAGCAGAGGGGTTGGAACTAGATGGTCTTTAAAGGTCCTTTCCAACCACACCATTCTGTGATTGATTCTGTGATTGTCTTCTTTAATGACCATCCCTGTTGAAGGCTAGCTTCCCTGTCTGCAGGCTGAATGCTGCATGTGGGACGATATGCCATTGTACCATCCCAGGAGACATGCTGGCAAAGAAATGTGTCTCAGTCACAATACCATTCCATTCTCCTCTCTTGGTCCAGAGAAAACATAATAAAGGTGCAGTTTACTTCCCCCTGCCTGTCTATGGTTCCCTTGGCAAGTGTGGTGTGAGCAAATTCCTCTTCGTCTCCATTCATGTGCAAAGGCACAAAAGAAAAGAACAATATCTGCATTTTCCACTGTAACTCACACAATATGTTGGTAGGCAGTGTGGCTAGACGGGGATTTGGGGAATTGTTCTCCTGCTCAGGACTGAATGACAAACTCTTCTTGCAAAAGCAGTCTGCTGGTGTCATTATACTGAACTGTCAGTGACACACCTGGAGCTGCCCGAGGATGAAAGGCACTTGATAACCAAAATGTGTGCCCTTCAAAAGGAATTAGGAACCATTCGAGCAACAGTGTAAATTCAACAGTGCTGCCGATAATCTTTTCATGATTTCATTGTGTGTTATATATGCAGAAGAATGGAGGATTAACCTCTCCTTAATGTTTTGCAATTTAGATAACAGAAAACAGCCCTTCTTTAACCATCTGCAACCTCTTTCTTTCTTCCTTTTCCCCACAAGCTCTCTAAGGAGCTCACTGTGGCAACATCTACCTTGAGTGTATCACAGGAAACTTCACCTGCAGAACTGGCTTCAATTCTGTAACTTACCTAAATGTTCTTTTATTTTTTTCTTTGATATTCCAATCTTTATCCTTATTCCATTATTAATATTAATTTTGTGGAGTATTTTTTCATGACTAACCTTTTGTATGAAAATGGGAACAAGGAAAGACATGAGAATGTGTCAGCCTTTCATCATCCACTGTCCTCCTTCATTAAATAATTAAACTGTTCTTTTCATGGCTTTCTACTTTTGTTGTCATATATATTAAAAGAAGTAGTGAGAAATAAATGATATTCTTCTTTCTCTAGAAGTCAGCCACTTAAAAGTTGAATTATAGTATTCATTGTGGTGACAAGTTTTAGATTTTTTTTATTATTTTTTTCAATAAATCTAATTTTCAGAACTGATCATCGTCTGTACTCGGGGAGCTTTAAGAAGCTCATCTTTAATATAGCTTTGAATAAGAAAGGTTTGAAAGCGGAATAGCTTCCCTTGAACTGTCAGCACTGAGTTGTTTGAAATAGAGATTAGACTAAAGACAAAATAGTTTTGGTGTCCTGTTTGCTATTTATTTAGAGATTGAATTCTCCCTTTCTCCTGAGTATGAAGGTTCAGAGCTGGAGCCATCAGGTCTGTTAGAAGTTAGGAGTAAAGGAATAAATCTGAATCCTCTCTTTTTTTCATTCATTGTGAGCAATGGAAAGATAATTCCTTCTTGCTAGAATAGCTGTAGGTAGAAGGGAAGGCTATGTAAAGAGAGTAGTAAAAAAGAAGATTTGGATATAAATATTCATGTTTCAGGGTAAATTCAATGATATTAGGAATAAATTACCAGCTAAAGATACACTTGATTGATTTTGTCTGAATTTGTTTTATAATATTTTCACATAACTTCATTTATTCTTTCCTTTAACATCCATTAGAGGAAAAAAGAAAAAAAATTACAGCATATGAAAAGAACATGGGGAAGTTTTTAATATAATGTTAATAATAGTTGGTATTTAATTGAGATCCTATCTTTAATCTTTTCTTCTTTTCCCCTACCAGTGTTTCATCTCTATTCTTATTATCTTGTTTTCAGTACAGAATTATCACCCACTGGTTTTCAATTACAGCGATGCCCATATTGATTCTCCCCTTGATTTTAACTCGAAGCTGAAAAATTACTCACTTAAGCCAATAAACGTAGATGATGTGGTTAGACTTGAGTTCCTTTTTTAAAATAATAAATGAATAAAGAAGAAGAATGATAAGCTTAGAACGACTCCGAGTTACAACAAACTGGTATGGAAATCCGTTTAAATCATTTGAACTCAGAACAGTATTATAAATTTATGTTTATCTTCGTGGTGTGGTAAGTGATCCCTAAGGACGCAAAACCTATGTCTATAATTCTAAGTTACATTTGTCTGCTCGTACTTGGGCACTGAGAGCACCTGGCAGATAATGGGTTCTGCCTGTGCTTCAAGAGAAGCTTCCAAAAACAGGGTGTCTCTATGCAAAGTGCCTACTGGGAATGGTCCCTGGTCCATGCTAGCTCCCAGAATGCGGCCAGGAATTGTCTGGTTGAATGCCAGCTGGAATGGGCTGAAATCACCACTCTTTTAGTTTAATAGCAGAGATGATCACATTCCCGGGCTTGGGAAAGTTCCCAGGCACTGCTAAATTTACTAACACAGATGTAGCCAGGGAACATTGTCCCATTTAGAAATTACATCTCTCCTCCAAATGCCTGTGTGCCTACCTATCTTTTAACACACTAATAGTCCTATTGTGCAGTGATGACAAACTACAAGCTTACAAACAAGGTTTGACCTTAAATATAGGCATGTATCAAAGGTTGTCATGGTATTGTTTTGGTGGCTGTGGTAAGTACATTCCAAATGAATTCAGAAGCTGAACAGAAGGGGAAAAACAGTTAAAAGCCATTAATTTCACACACACAATCAAAAATACAGATTGAAAAGGGGAAGTTTCTAAACTAGAAAAACAGAGATCTTTCATAGTCTTAATATTGGATCACAACTAATTTCAAATACTTTCAGCAGCATGGTTTGTAGTGGAACCCACTCAGATGCACACACCAAAGAATTGATAGGTATGAGTGTAGGTGGGATTTCTCCACAGGAGATGAGAAAGACAGTATGACTCAACTGGAGGAAGATGTTGAATATCTTTAGATGAAAATCACCTTAATTAACAGCAGCCACAGTGGTCTGGGGTTGACAATCCCAGCTGCATCCAATTCATGCATGGTTAGCACTGCCTTTGTGCATGAATGCTTTGTGTCACTGATGCTTGGATTTCTACATGTAATCTCTCCTTTTTCTTGAGGGTGTTCATTGTTCTTGCTCATTTGTTACTATGAATTTAATAAATCCAAGACTGCCAATCAGCAATGATGGTTACAAATATGTGGGTCAAGGTTTTCTGGCATGTTCTTGTAGTCCTGGAAAAACTAGAGTACCGTCACCAAAGAGACCTTTATTGAAGAGCAGATCCCTGATGAAAGTTTTGGTGCCATCATGCTGCTAGGCATCTGTTCTGCCCAAGTCTCTAGCTGAGCTGCACTTCTCAGAGGGGTTCTCCCAACTTCATATAGACAGTCCTGTTTTTTCATGGGCCCAGGTGTATTTGCCCCATTTCAACATCCATCTCTCATGCTTAAAATTAAATATTTGCTTTAACAAAAGCAAAGTTTCCCTAGATTTGGCAGTGCACAGGTTTCTTTTTATACAAATAATTTCTGTACTTCTCACGCATTGTAGCAGCTTTCCCCTCTTTGGAAACATTCCAGAAAGCACCTGTACGCACTTGCTGATTTGTGAAATGCCAGGATGGTAGGTTGTAATTTGCCAGTTCATTTCTTCTCTGAGAGTAAATTAATTGAATTGATAGCGGTATAATTTATGATTTTATACAGGCAACGTATATCTCCTGTGGTACTATTTTAGCATTAGGATGGGGTAAATGAGTCATAACTAATTATGGAGCGATTACTGTCTAGGTAGAGATAGGAAATGAAGGCTTCTCTTTCCATTCTGTATGGGAGACTTGCCTCATGAGTAAGGTACCTCAAACTGTTGCCAGTCTCCCCTGTGTGTTTGTTTTGCACTTAGTGTAACACAGTGTTAGGGCTGGAGTCTTTAAAAGGTTTGAGAAATAGCAGAAGACAATTTTCCTGAAGTAACTCACGATTACATGACAGTGTCTTGCAGCCTTTTGTGATGGAGCAGGCATGCTGATGAAGGGTTCAGGCTTGTTGGCTACTTCTGCATATCATACATATTTTCGTTTTTCTTCCTCCTCTGACAATTTCTTACCCGGAATTTATTTTTCCTTTTAGGGTTACACCAGGAGGTCTGTGACTCTATCTAAACCTGCACAGAGGCTCTCCTCTCGCCCCCACCCGCCTCATGCTAAAACATTCATTTAGACTACAGTATCCTCTATACCATCAAAAGCCTGTTGTCGTTTCCTGTGAAACACCTCAGGTGCCAAACACAACCCCAGTGCAGCCTGAGGAAATGGTGTCTCCCACTGGGGATGCTGAGCATACATAAAAGAGGGCTGTGTTTTTCCAAGGCACCTGCCAGAACCTCACTGACATTTTCAGCACAGGAAAATATTTGGCATTGGACAACTGTTCAGAAGCTTTTCCCCTTATAGGTAGTAGAGAATGTTCCCTTCTTTAAATATATTTATATAATTCTTTTCGGCCTACCCATACCTGAAAGATTTCATTTTTTCACAGCTGTGAAAGCCAGGGAGTTTACCTTCTCAGTTCCTATTTGTTCTCTCACTCCTCACAGTGAGCATATCCAGTTCTTTTTAACCTGTCTTTCCAGCAACTTGTGCTGCAGGATGCTGTTTGTTTTTGCTCTGTCTTCCAAGAAGTCACCTCAGAAGCGTAACATCGCCTCTATTTATCAGACATACATTCTTCTAAGTGCACCTCGCAGCATGCGTATTCTTTCTCTTCCATCTTTATCAGTCATAAAATGCATGGAGATAGGACCATTCCTGCCAATGCCCAGGTATTTCAATTTTCCATCTTTTCTGTCAGTCGGCAGTTTGAGGTCATGATGTTCAACTGGCTCACTTTCTTGTATTTAGTGTAAAATTACCAAACTTCCATTTGCTTTAAAATTTTAGTGAAGGGTAAGTTGATGGTTTAACTCCTGCTTATACAAAGAATTCCTGAAAGCCAGCTGGCCCTGTGTTTGTCACCTTTGAGTTCCACTCAGTTTGCTGACATTAATAAAAAGACAGTCCAGTGCAGTTACAAATGCCAGGAAGTATCTTGGCATGTAGTCATGCCTTTCTGCCTAGGTCTGTGGGTTTTTTTTCTTTTTTTTTTTTCCTGCATTTTGTATTTTCCATGAAGTCTACTGAAGAGGTAACATAAATTTCATCCACAAGACCTTAAAATGATGGCCACATATTCTGTGCACCTTGCTATTAACCTTGCTCTTCACACAGCAACGTATGGTTGTTCTGTTAAGGTTTTCTATACTTCAAGGATTTCCAACAGTCTCTCTTAAGCGAGCAGGAGTTCTTAATCTATCATCTCACACCTACCCTTCAGCCCTGCATCATTTACAGACTGATCTATCCCTACTCCTGTTTTATACCTTGTTCTAAGACACATGTAGATTAAATCAGAATGCAATATTCAAATGCCTCTAATGCAGTTTTTTTGTTTTTTGTTTTTTTTTTTCAGAACCAGTCATTGTCAGAAATAAAGTAGTCTTGGTATCTATATATATTTATATAACGCGCTATGTTTGTAAATCCAACAGATATTGTACATGGAGAGATTGATATAGGCTGCTTTCACCTTTCATTTTTCTGGACAGTTTCAAGAAAAAAGGGTTGTCTATCTGGCTCTTAAACAATTGACCAGAGTCCAAGATTTGCTTTCTCATTGATTATAAGTCTTTGTGTAGTACAAAAGACAGTGTATTTCAGCAAATACATTATGGTGGGTTGCAAATGGGAAGGAGATATTACCATAGTCATGAATTGTGTCGTCAGGACATGCTCCTTCATCTTATCTTATTCTATACAAAAATGCAGATAGAATATAATTAGCTACTTCTGAGGGAAAATAAGGGCCACATTCTAGAGAGATGAAG